GTGACCTGCTAATGGGGACAACGATGATGATGATGTGTGGCAGCTGGTTGACAAATGTAATGACATCGGCGTGCGACACCCGATAGCGGTGGGCAGTGGCGGGGTGGTACTGGCGTCAAAATCAGGGGTTGGTTTATAGTATATTTGAAATGTTGAATGGCTAAAAAATGAACTATGTAGTGAATTTTAAATTCAACAAAATTTTATTCTGCATTCTAAATCAAATATCAAATTTCTTAAAATTATTTTATTTAAGATATTTTATACTCGCTTTCAATCAAATCATAAAACCTCTTAATATGCTATAATAAATTTTTAAAGGGCCTCAAAAACTTCAGCCCATTTAAAGGCCACTCTAAATAGCACAAGAACTAGAAAGATAAATTCGGGGCGAAATCAGCTTTAATTTTTAGGATGAGATCGGGTAACTAAAAGGCAAGCACTAATTGACGATTGATAACGGATGGTCAACGGGTATGTTAAATTTTTAGGTAATAATAGACCATCTACTTGGTCACATTCTTAATAAACGGGACGGCCAAATTATAAACATTCGACTATTAAAAAGATTAAGACGACAATCAACATGGAATATCAAATGTCAAGAGGATGTTGGTTTATTGGAGAGAAAAGAAAAAAAAAAAAAAAGGAAGATGTGTGTTTGGTATCATTGGCAAATAAACACCTATTATTAATATTTGTTGAACAATGAATAATAATAATTGTTAGAGGTAGGGTGACTCTTGATAAGAGATTATATTATATGAGTGGGAAGACATGTAATCTAAGTTGTTTGTTGAAGAACATCAAATATTAAGCATTATCTTATATCGGGTGACGGACAACTAAAAAACATCAAAAGTTAGATAATGAAGGGCAAACATCTTAATATTTCTCTTAGCATGAAGAGTGATTGAGCGGTAAAATAGGTGAAAGCCAAACATAAAATTTTGGTCATGTTTAAAGGTGAATCTTGAATTTTAGGAAAAATGATTGCCCCAAATAATGACAAACAAAGATGAACTTTAGCGCCCATTAATGATCGAGACAGAATGCCGACAATCATGCAATAACAATTATCAGTGTTAAAAATGGGCATTAGCATTCATCAATGGTTGTAGCGAACATTAAACTTGAAAGTCAAGTGTTGGAAGACAGACGATACAATATAATTGCCATCACTCCACCTAAAAGGTGACAGCCAAACAAAAAATGTCGATCATCGACAAGCATAGATCAACGACTGAAGGTTAACGTTAGAAGTCAAGAAAAAATAATTGTTAAACCCAAAAATGTCATGCCCCAAGATCTAAAGTGAAAGAAATTCTTTTATTTTCTTTTTTTAGTATCTGTTCAATTCAATCTATTTTTTTATCTTTCATTTAATAAACAGATTAATAAATATCCATATCATTTTGACATCCAGAGATGATCAATTGTATTAAAGAAAATTCATAAACAACAGAAAATATAATTAACATTATTATAACTGTCAATATTTATATTATGTCGGTAGAGTCAAAAATATATAATAGCCTTCATAGGCTATAAAAGAATATATATAAACCAAAAGAACTGAAAGAAAACTAAAATATCATTACAGTCGCCTTATCTTTACCTGAAATCATATAAAATCACGTAATGAGCGAATAACCTAGCAAGTAACTAAAGTCATACAACTGAAATCAATGTAAGATAAAAAAGAAATATTATCCTTTAAATCATATAAAGAATATATAAATCAATATTTTTATCCTTTGAATCACGTGAGAGTTGCCCCAACTCCTTATGATTATCAATCAATCTCCAACTTCTTATGACTGACTCACATCTATAGACCACGTGATTAATCTTGAGAAAATCACATAATGTTATCGTATCATATATATAATATCAATCAGTACATCATATCTATAAATCACATCAGATTCAGACTAATAGCAATATTATATTCTTGCACAACTCAATCGTATCAATCATTTCAATACATATTATCTTATGGCATTATCATATTAAATCACATTACATCACTTTTCAATTCATTTTCAATTTATTTCTTCTCTATTCATTTTACTCAAAAAATTTTATACATATATTTAACTAGTAAAAATGAAATGATATCAAAGTTATACATTGAAAGCTTATGAAATCGGGAGAGAATGTATATTTTTGTAGATTTAAGAGAGATAAATATGTAGAAATCAAAATCTTCTTAAATAAAAGTAAGAGGAAAGTTACTTACAACGATTAGAATAATTTTTATAGTAGTAGCGATAGACGACAACGACAAAAAAATTGGCTTTATATTTCATTTTTCTTTCCTCTTTCTCTACGTTCTCCCTTTCCTGCCTGAGCAAGCTACGACCGATATGGGGGAAGTGGTGGCGCTAGAATATTTTAATCCTAAGGTTTAGAGTAAAATATTTATAAAAACAGTATTAATGGCTTATCACCGCAGTGCTCAGATCCAGCATCGCAGCGTTGCATGTTGAATCTAGAATTATTATAGAACAGATTCTCAAATGTTGCAACCGCATTCTCTGGCACCGCTATGTTCTCAAACCTAGCAACACAGTGCTCACAAGTATAATACCAAAGCGCTCCTATTCAAAGAAAAAAAAATTTAAAATGCTTTTCATTTCGGGTTGTTATAAAAAATGACAAACAAATATGAATTTTGACACCCATTCACTATCGAGACAGAATGTTAATAGTAAGTACACTGCAATTATCAACATGAGACATTAATGGGCATTGACATTCATCAATGTTGGTGGAGAATACTGATCTTGAAAGTCAAGTGTTGGAAGGCAGATGAGGTAATTGCTCTGAAATTCTATAAGGATCGATTAGGATTTGAAATGGTGGTTAGGTGTATGAAATTATCTAAATATCAACATTTTCTCAAACAAAAATCTACCTTAAGTGTGTTAGAATAGACTAATAAATATCTAGATATGATATACTAATCATTTTATAGAAATCCTAAATATTTCTTCCTAATATTTAAATAAACTCACATTTTATCAATTTATATTTGCTGAATAGCTTAGGGACTTTTATGAACTCAAATTTTATTAAATTTAGACTCAAACTTATATTATGGATTGATGCACTTATTTTAATAATAAACAAGTAAAATTTAAAAGACATCAGGCCTCTTATTTGTATTTTTTTATTTTAAATATTTGATTTGAGCCTATTTAAATAAATATCAAATATTCTTGATTTCATTTTAGTCATCTTATCAAAACACACTCACAATTACATAAGTATTGAAAGTAAAATCAAAGAAGAACAACGACAACATTAAGCCTTTGTCCCACTACGTGGGATTGGCTACATGAATCTTTTTTATCCATTGTGTCAAGTTAAAATTTAAATTATCATTTAAATCTAATAAAGAAATATTATTTCTAATATTTTATAACCAAGACTTTTTACGACTATCTCTAACTTTCTTAACATAAATAAAAATCTAATACCTTTACTTTGCTAACCGGGTCATCAGAAGGTTATCGTTTTATGTGACAAATCCATCTAAGGTGACTCTCTCTGATCTTATCTTCCACTGACGCTACTCTAACCTTTTCATGTATATGCTCATTTCGTATCCCATCTCTAATGGTAAAGCCACTCATCCACCTAAGCATCCTCATCTTTGCAACACCTCATCTATTCAACACTTAGTATTATGCTAGCTTCTCTTTTAATGGCCAACATTCGAAACCATAAAGCATTGCAGGTCTCACCACGATCTTATAAATTTTTTTCTTAAGTTTAAGGGAGATTTTTTTATCACACAATAAGCCTGATGCATTCCTCAACTTCAACTATTCAACTTGAATTCTACTGATAATATCACATCTATTTCACCATTACTCTGAACAATATATTCAAGATATCTAAAATATGTACTCTTATTAATGACTTGATCACCTAAAGTCACAATCCCCTCACTATGTCTATTTAGGGGTGTCAATATTTGACACGACCCGAAAACCCGACCCGAACCCGACCCGAAAATTTTGGGTTAGGGTCAACCCGAACCCGAAACAGGTCGGGTTCGAGTTCAACATTTCGACCCGTTTCAAAAATCGGGTCGGGTTCTGGTTAACCCTTTGACCCGAAATTGAGCCGAAAGTGACCCGATTTTGACCCGAAAATCCGATTTTGACCCGCCAACCCTAGATTGACCCGATTTTGACCCGGTTTTGACCCGAAAAGAGGAGATTGACCAGTTTTTGACCCGAAAATTAGCAATTTTTTTGTTGAAAACGGGTCATTCGGGTCGAGTCGGGTTGACCCGGACTCGAAACGGGTCGGGTTCGGGTCCAGGAAACCGACCCGTTTTTAAAAACGGGTCGGGTTCGGGTTGACCCGAATAGTGCCGGGTCAGTTTTGGGTTCAACCCTGAATGGTTTACTTACACCCTTATGTCTATTATTATTAAACTTATAATTTATATATTCAATTTTAAATAGACTCAAATGAAAACCTTTAGACTCTAAGGTTGACCTTCATATTTCATGTTTATCTTCAACTTCCTCTCTAGTTTTATCAACAATAAAAATATCATTAATAAAAAGCATACACCAAAGTGCATCCTCTTCCAAATGTCTAGTGAGAATAAAATCAAAATGATCTCAAATTTTCTAATTTAATACAACTAAATTATTTATACAATACAATTAATTTTAAAAGATAAATATATTTAAAGTATAAAATAATAAAATTTAATTATATTTACACTTTATATTTAATTATATTAAATAATATATAACATAAAGATGATAAAACAAAATTATTATATCCTGACTTATATTTTTCTTTAATAAATTATTGCCAATATAGGAAAAACACGTATGCTTTACCTCACATGGCCACGTATACGACTGCCAGATTCCAACCATCTACGGAGGCAGCCTCCATGGATACCGTCACCGCACACCAAGTTAATGCCCTATCACCGCCAAAATCCACGTGATACACACCAGAAAGAATAGCGAAGCCAACGGCCAATATATCCTCACAAAACCAATTACATGACAGAGCGGCACGATCCACCGTCGAAACCCACATTTATTCCACACACAAAACCTACGCAGCAAAGGATACCGTACAACACTCATCTCATAGGTCACACAGGTGACCACACCAAACCCCAATTTGATCGACCGCGAAAGTCGAAACCCTATTCTATCTCCACCTTCATCCTCCGGCTGCTGACGGCGGGTCGCAGAAGCCGCGGGCCCTTAAAGACACCCTCGTCCTCAGGAGAACAGTAATCTCTGGTGGCATAAAGCTTGTACGGAGAAGTATCGGTAGCGAGCCACTGTTCAATGGTGAACTGACGCTGTGAGCATCCGAGATGAGGCCCAGTTGTGGTGATCTCAACGTAGTTGCAGTACCATCCATGGTGGCTGCCGGTTCCATCCGATGTGAGATTGAGCCAGCAGAGTGGGGTGGAGAGGCACGGTGCTCGGCCGGAGAAGATGTCGAGATTTCCCCTCTCGAAGTAGTTATAATCTGCGCCCATCAGGCCGCCCCAATCCTCCAAATCCGTGATCTCCACGCCCCAGCCGTCCGATCCAGCAAGCGCCAAGCTTATCTTCGAGTCCGTTCCGCCTTTCCAGATGCTTCCCGTCCTGATGTAGATTGTGTAAACGCAGGTATCGTCATCATCTCTTGCCTGTACAATCACAACAAGAAGAAAAAGATCAATGGAGAGCGATCAAAAGTGTTATCGGAGAGGAAGGAAAGGAGAGGCGTACTTTTTCGAAGCGGAGATTGGAAGCGGTTGCGACCGCAGCGGCGGCTGCTGAGAAGAGGAAGAGGAGAAGGAAGAACGCGCTAGTGGTTCCGGTAGCCATGAACTGGAAGGTAATGGTCAATGCTGGGATTTTGTCGAGGGCTTATCGAAGATGGGATTTCCGATTTATAAAAAGTAGAGGTGGGGTCCGGGACTGGTTTGTATAATAAATGTAATCAATCGTTTATGATTTAATGTCGGCAAGGAAATATTGGGGAGGTTGGTAAATATTGCTTAAGAAAGATTGTGTTTTGGTTTGGGGCTTTCAATTTTGAGGAGAGAATTCGAACGAATTAATTATGTTTTGAAATTTTCTGTCTTCCCCCAAAAAAAAAAAAAAAAATTCTGTTATTTTTGAAAGAAATTTGGGTTAAATTCTTAAATAATCATACATTACTAATAAAAAGTTTTAAGAATTTGTTTTATATAGCTACAATGTTTTGCAAAGATTGTTATAAAATTATTATGATAGAATTAATTTTTTAGAAAGCTTCTATATTTTGTTAAAGTTGAAAATATCACTAATTTTGATTATAAAAAATAGCTTCTTATCATCAAATTTTTTTTTTAAAATAATAATAATAATTAAATAAAATTATATTTGCAATTTTAAAAAAGAAACATTTGTAAAAAATTATTTCAAACAAATCCTAAGTAAAAACATACACGTGGATTAAAACTTAAAAGGGCCTTCAATTGTTAATAGTATGAGGCCATTTTTACGCTTGAAAATTCTAATAAGTTAGTTTGAAAGCATAACCTAGCTCATCAAGATTTGTTGGTTGAGAGCTTTAACTATCAACCAAGAGATCTTGGATTTGAGTCTTTTGTATGTGATATGTGTATAAACTTATCTTAATTAATCTAAATGTCTCAAAAAAAGTTTGAAAATAAAAATAAACAATTTTTTTTTTTGGGAAAAAAGCAGAAGGAAAGAAAGGCATTGGGTCATCAATTTCGAGTCAAACCCGAAACTAACCCAGCTCTATTCGGGTCAACCCGAACTCGATCCGTTTTTTCAAACTAGTCGATTTTTCGGACCTAAATCCGACCTGACCCGCGGACACGGCAATGCCGACAGTGGCGGGTCGGCAGCGGTGGGCCGATGGTTGTCGCAGCGAAAACCAACAGAGTAGTCACTTGGGATAGCGAGGACGGCAGGACGCGACGTGGAAGCAACGGGCAGGAGGGTCAGTGCCACGGGCAAACTGACACTGATGCGATGCAGGACAGCAGGGACGTGACGTGGATTGACATCGCTAACTTGGGACGTGGGATTGGCCTCTGGAGGTGGGCAGTTTTGGCCAGGCACAATCAACACGGGTCATTCCCGAATTTTCGAGTCAAAAAATGACTTGCTGGAATATGCATAATAATTTAAATAACTTCTTTGATAAACATGCTCAACATGACATATAAAGGATACATAGTTATAACATGAAAATTAGGAAATTATATTATTATAAGTTTATAATTTTATAACTAAACCATTTCAAGTATTACATGTCGAGTTCAGGTGCTCCCGGATTTAATTTTTGAAGTTTCCAACTTGATTTTTGCCTCGAGATTCGTGCCTGATCAAGTTAATTTTCGCATGACGTATCAATATTATTATAAGTTTATAATTTTATAACTAAACCATTTCAAGTATTACATGTCAATGGTCGCACCATTCTGCCCATTTCTTTATCAAAGAAATAATGATTATATTATAAAGATTTATAAGTTGCATTTCATAAAGATAATTGATGATGTTGTGAAATACGATGTCGAGCCTTATATTAGAGATGATATTTTTTTGGGACAGGTCAATTAAGGCAGATTCATACATACTGTATATACAAGATTCAAATCTAAGACCTCTTTGTTGATAACCTAAGCTCTCGATCAAAATACCAAAATGAGCCGTGTCTTAGAGACGATATTCATTGCTCATTGGACAACATAAGAGGATTAATGGATGACAAAAGGATAGGTTCATGAGAATGTGTCGCGCATGGTTTGAAGGTGGGCACCAAATAATAAGTAATAACAAACTTCATGCATCAGTAGATAGTTCGTTTTAAATGATGTTTGATGTTAGAAAGTAGTGTCGAGGGAAATGGGGCATCGTGTTTCGAAAATTGTTGGTCGTTGGCATCGACAGGACTAGACGTGACTAGTGCATTTTTCCATACGGGTTTCGAGTTGAGTTTGGGTTTAAGGAATAACCCGAACCAAAATTTTTTTTTTAAACAGGTCGAATCCGGGAACATGACCCGTTTGCGAAACGGGTTGACCCTAACCCAAAAATTTTAGGTCAGATTCCAGTAGGGATTTCGGTTCGTATCAAATATTGACACCCCTACATACACGATATACTACAGGTAAATCAAGGTTTAACGACGGCATTTTCCGGCGGTTTTGTAAATTTATGGCAGCTTTCCGACGACAAATTATTCGCCTATAAAACACACAAAGGAAAAATATTTGCGGCAATATTTTTCGGCGGCAAATATTTCCGGCGGAAAAAAGCTACCGGAAAATATCAAAAATTAATTAAAAAAAATGCCCGCTGACTAACAACCCCTACCCTGCCCGGCTGCCCACCAGACAGCCTGCCCACACTGCCCGCCCAAGCTCCCGCCCTGCCCGCCTGAGCTCCCACATTATATTAGGAAAAGCCACCTGAAATGCTGCCGAAAAAATCCCTAAAAAGTTGCCGGAGACAAAGCAGTCGGAAAGCCGCCGGAAAACCGCCCGTAATTTTTCTGAAAAATTAGGCCGTTGGAAAGCCATTGGAAAGCAGCTGGAAAATTGTCCGTCGGTAAGCCGCCGGAAAAATCCACTAGTAATTGATGATTTTCATGTAATGATATGTGTGTGAATTTATCTTAATTGGCTCAAAGTCCAAAAAAGAAATTGCGAGCTTCATATTTGAATATCAAATATATCTGAGACCCCCTTCGATATTTATAACGAGGAAATACATTTTATTAAGAAGGAGAGGTTTGAAATTAATATTTGTTAATCACAATGAAAATCCAACGACAGTGAAGTCCATTGTACTTCAACATATCTAACACGTTTTTGTACATTTCATCTATATTTCGCTACAAACCATTTAAAAAACGTTTCCTTTCTCCTTGTAGAATTATTAAAGAGGCGTCAGATTTTTTTTAATGCTATCGTTATACTTTGAATAAGTGTGATTAGACATGTGATTACTCTATTTGATGGCAATTGATTTGTAATTTGTAAATTAGTTTCTACATAGGGACTGCTTGATTTGCTGGAAAAAGGAATGGTGTGTCAAATATAGTTTTGGTGTTTGGTTTGATGAAAAAGAAATGTATTATCGAGGTTGTGAAAACTTGACCAGACAATGAACAAAAAGAAGGAGAGGTTCATGGTTCGAGCGGTTCGAACGGTCGAACCGAGGTCAAACCAAATGACGTAATAAATAATAAAATTATTAAATATTATAAAATGAATTAGAAATTATGCTCAACCCATTCATTCTACATTCCATTTTCATATCAAACCAAACATAGAGATAATAAAGTCATCAGTTAATTTGATCGACATGCAAGCTCTGGATTTTCGAGTGGGTGATACTTATGGATCTAATGTTAGGTCACATGTGGATTGGATTCATGGTTCGTCTGAATTTGAATCTGAATCAGATTCTGCTTCGGATTATTTCGATGGCTCTGATCCTGGAAATGAATTTACTCTGGTTAGAGATAGACCTGTCCTATCTATTGCATATCGTGGGAGATTTCGTGAGAGGGGTAGAACAAGAAGATATTTTTTTTTTCAGTTGCTTATTGCCCTACTGCTTGCTCGGGTTGGTTTTTGTACTTTTGGTCGATTTTCCGGGTTTTTGGGCAATGATGTGGCTGGGGCTCGTTCCCTCGTCGTCACAGCTGGTGGCAACCTTTGGTGATGGCGCTATCTTCGCCAAATTGGATGGTCTGTGTGTGGCTTCGGGATAGCTGGGAGCCTCGGCCAATTCCTGAGCCCTCCTTGGATTTACCTTTGTATTTTCCTCTGTCTTTTGTTTTTTGCCATTTGCTTTGTAATTTGTTCTCTTTTTTGGATTAATATATTGTTTCTTTCTAAAAAAAAAGGTCATAAATTAATACCATATAGACAAAAAAATAATAATTGTCATTCAATTGTTTATATCAGTTTACATAAAAAACTCAAATACTCATAGTGAATCTATTAATCATCAATAAAATTTGTGTGATCAAAAGATAGATTCTCAAACCCTCCATCAAAATCTTGCATCCCAAATGCTTCTGCATTCTCATATGATATGTCATCTTCATCACATATATTAGCTAAGTTGCATTCATCTGCAAATCATTAATTTGAAAAAATAAGTCTATATTTTCGCCAAATAGGTTGGCAATAGTGTACCGTACAAATAAAATAAAACACATAAAATCTACGAATAATATGTCAAGTTAATATAAGAATTTGTAGAACAATGTAGAAATTATCATAAAACTTAAACGATACACCTTGAAGTCCATTCTAATTTGATTACTAAATAATATCACATATACATAAATTAAAACCCATAAATCACAAACAATAATCAATACCCAAAAGCTAATTAAAAGAATAGTATGCAACTGCAAGAACTAAATGTTCCTATGAATTAAACTTAATATCAAAGTCAGCAATTGAACTTAAACGACACATATTGGGGAGGATTGCATATCTCAATTCGTCGTAGTCTCCAACCTTTATGAAGTAGAGATGAATTCTCCAAAGAAAGCACGTTCAAAATCTGAAATAGAATTATGAAGGCAAGCACATTAATGTGTGATTAGATAGATAAAGGGTTAAAGATTTTCTTGCAGTATCATTGCAAAGGCACTAAAAAATTAATAGTTGTAGTTATTGCAGCTTTGAAGATGAAATGCTTTGAGGGGAAGTACAGAAACTCTAAAAGTCATGCAGAAGTGGGATACTAAACAGTCTTTTCTTCTCACCAGGAAAGTAAAACCTCTCATTTTTATAATTAAATTCATATAAACTCCATCGAATATGTAGCTATCAATACGCTAACTAGCTCTTATATGTTGCAAAAAAAATATAAAAAAAACAAGGAAATTAAAACTCAGGCTTATTCAGAAGACACAAAAAATTAAAGGTATCTAGTACACAATGAGCGATGTATAACATTATAAAATATTCTGCAATAGTAACAGAACTTCCACCAAGTTTTGGTATTACACAAGAACTTT